AGAATGACTAAATGGTCTGGCTGCTAGGGGAGCTGATACTAGAGGCACTCTTAAAAAAAAAGAGTATTTATTACAACCAGAAGGGGAAAAAGCTTGGGACAGGGGGGCATTTGTACAATGAGCCAGTACTGATAGGATTTGCTGGGTTGGTGGCCCTGAGTGGGGATATTTCCCTATTAAGGCTTCAAACAAAGCCAACAGAGGACTGAGCTGGAGGCATAAGGACATATGTACAATGAGTTGGTGCTAACAGGACTTCCTGGGTTGGTGGGCCTGAGTGGAGATACTTCTCTTTTAAGTAGGATTTGCTGGGTTGGTGGCCCTGAGTGGGGATATTTCCCTATTAAGGCTTCAAACAAAGCCAACAGAGGACTGAGCTGGAGGCATAAGGACATATGTACAATGAGTTGGTGCTAACAGGACTTCCTGGGTTGGTGGGCCTGAGTGGAGATACTTCTCTTTTAAGCCTCAAACAGAGCCAGGAGAGAACTGAGCTGGAGGCAGAAGAACATATGTACAAGGAGTCTGTACTAATAGGATTTGATGGGTTGGTGACTCTGAGCAGAGATACCTTTCTTTTTAGGCCTCAAACAGAGTCAGGAGAGTACTGAACTAAGGGCAGGGGGATCAGTACAATGGGCCAGTACTGAAAGGATTTGGTGGATTGGTGGCCCTGAGTGGAGATATTTCCCTATTAAGGCTTCAAACAAAGCCAACAGAGGACTGAGCTGGAGGCATAAGGACATATGTACAATGAGTTGGTGCTAATAGGACTTGCTGGGTTGGTGGACCTGAGTGGAGATACTTCTCTTTTAAGCCTCAAACAGAGCCAGGAGAGAACTGAGCTGGAGGCAGAAGGACATATGTACAATGAGTCAGTACTGATAGAACTTGCTGGGTTGGTGGACCTGAGTTGAGATACTTCCCTATTTAGACCTCAAACAGAGCCAGGAGATGACTGAGTTGGGGCAGAGGGACATTTGTACAATGGGCCAGTAGTGATAGGATTTGCTTGGTTGGTGGCCCCGAGTGGAGATACATTGCTATTTAGGCTTCAAACGGGGCCAGCAGAAGGACCTATGTACAGTGAGTCAGTACTAATAGGACTTGCTGGGTTGGTGGACCTGAGTGGACATACGTCCCTACTGCGGCCTCAAACAGAGCCAGGAGAAGACTGAGCTGGGGTCAGAGGGGCATTTGTACAATGAGCCAGTGCTAATAGTATTTGCCTTATTTAGACCTCAGAGCAGGCCCTACAGTTAGTGACACACGATACAGAGACCTGCTCCATGTAGAAACCTTCTATTGCAGCTTTTGATAGAGGGATGTCTTCCAGCATTCATTTCTTTCAGGGCTCTGAGATGACCTGTAACCGAATATGAAGAGCTTCAAAGGAAGTTGATGTTTCAAGATATGAAAAGGTGTGCCACAATAAATCATGACCTTTAGAAAAACCTACCTTTTCACCATGCACACCAAGGAAAGAGGCATGATGGCTCACTTTTTGTAGTAAATGTTCTTTAGCCTACATGAATCTGAAAGGGTTGTGTTTGCTCCCCTGGACCAAGGTTTCCCATGTCCCCATGAGTAGAGGTAATTGGACATGATGTCCACTTCAGATACAGCACTGAAGGGGCACATCTGTGATCTCGAGAGCCATCTATAGCTAACTGTTTGATTGTTTCAGGTTGGTAGGTGCGTTCTCTTACTATCTCTGAGCAATTTTTGTGTTCATCTTCAGGGACCCTGCATCATTGGTCCATGCTGAGGCCAGAATTAAGATCTGTGATAGAAGCGCTCATTATTAGTACTTCAGGGTCCTGGACTACCCTGGCTGGGAAACTTCCATGATCCCCAATAGATATAAGATGTCGGTGGGTTATTTAACATACTGGAATCTACACAAATCTATATCTGGGGGTGCTGACCCTTTAAGTGGTATGATCCTACTGATTATATTTATTATACACTGGTTAATTCACAAGAACCTTCCAAATTGGAGACTTCTGTTTTTTTTATTTCATGAGAAAAGATGTATTCGGGGCCGTTCCAGCTCCTCTTATAGACTTATCTCCTCTTGTCAGCACTATCTCCAGAACGTTTATCGTTGTCATCATAAACAGCTAGCATACATCTTATATTCCCTCTAAAGTGTTTTGCCGCATATTTAAAGAGAAGCTTTTAAGCTCAACAAAGCATCTTCTAAAGGGGTTTCCACAACATGAATGTATTGGTTTGTACATGCCCTTAAGTGAATTTCATGAAATGCATTCCTTTATTGTCCTGCATTTAGTTCAAAGAGGACTCTTTTTGTTGCCCTTGGGTACAGCAAAGAGCTTCTTTGTGGACATAACTGTGCTTGAACAAAGCTACACAATAAGGGTCATTTAATAAAGGGCATGTCTATTAAAGACAACACCTATTGTAAAATTTGGACCTGTCTAAGTAGGTGAAGGCTTGCCTTCTACCTGGATCTAAAACTGCAATTATCATTTTCTGTGGAGAGTTACCTGCCCTTGTACTAGAGCTGAAGTGGAATTCTAGATATATTTGGTGGGGGATAGACTAGCAATGATAGCCCCTGTATTTCTGCCATAGCAGGTATATAATAAATATAAAGGTATTTCTAAAGCTAAGCTAAGTGCAGAAAAGGATTAGACCCCCCCCCCCTTTCAGGTTTAATTGCTGTATTTGCACCTTCTGGGGAGGCAAATTACCCATTGTTGTTACTAAGTTAGAAATAATAGGATAGCCAAAACAGCATGGCTGTGATCAGAACAGGAAGTGAGGAAAATAATCTTCCAGTGGGGATATCTCTACCAGTAACAGCTGTCTAAAGGGGATTTCCTTCACTTTGGAAAGATTTCCTTTCATTTCCTGTTGTTCCCCAAGAACAGAAAGTGAAGGAAAGTCCCCATTAAAAAAATGATGCGCTGCAGCACTTCATAAGTGCATCTACAGTTACAGTTTTCTATTAGCTCCCCTGCAAAGACCCACAAATACCTGCTGATCATGCCAGTGAAGGCCACCTAATGCAGCTTTCTGTGATGGGGTGGCAACAATGTTGCACTGCCCCTAAATTTAGAGCCACACTCAGGTAGTTGTATTTGCTTGCACTACAAAGGGATGAGAATATGTTTTATGGCTATTACCATTGCCACTGTTAATTCACAAGCCTGTAGCATGTCCATCAGCACCTGGCCATGCCTAGTCTTGCCCACTGCTTACTAGATTGGCAACACTGCCTCTGTTGCTGAAACCCTCCCACTGTGATCTGCAGTGTCTGGCAGGGGGAGTGTGTGAGTCACAAATGAAGGAGGATTTGAAAGTAATGAAAGTTTTCTGTTTACTTTATGAGGCTTGGGCATCTCATAGTGCCTGGAGTTGGTACTTGTTTAGACTGCCATACAGAAGGATAAGTCTATTTAGAACCAATGTTTCATCTGGCTCTTTTTCCTCTACTACTCCTGCAGTTAGATGTCTGAGAGGAAGGAAGACCATACTTTCAGAGTAAGACCGTACCTATAATCCTCGTGAAAGGTTGGTGGAACTGGGAGTCCAAGGAGTAGAGGGTACATGGAGGTTGCCATTGCTGATACCCCCCGAATATAATGGTGGCCTGGTTGTTAGGTTGATCCAATTACTTTCTGAATCAAGTCAAAACCCTGCAAAAGCATGCAGATCAGGCGTTCTAAATTCATGCTTACTTTACTTGCTGCAAGCTTGTTCCAGGTCAGTGACTCTGAAAATACTGAAGCCAGTGGTATTCAATTTTCATAAGGGGGTCAGGAATGAAATCTCCCGTGTACTGTATCTCTCAGTACAATTTTTTGTTTTTGAAGATGAATGCTCATCTGAAGCGAAGCATACACATAGACTGTCGTAATACACCTAAGATCCCCTAGGAGGGCCATCCTGGCCTCCATGTACTTACTGCAAAAAGTCTGCATGGAGGTCCAGGATTGACCTTATAAAGACCTGGCTGCGTCAAGCTTCCCACTACCTTGGGATGCCGTCACAATGCTCAAAGCTGTTGCCCAGCAACCATAGAGGTCATCAACCACCGCAGATGAGGGAAAGGTGCAGCAGGAACCTGACAAGCTGCGTGGATCACATCCATGCAAGTGTTCACTACCTTTTTACAAGAAAAAAATTGTTCTAATCAATTGCCTGTCCATTGATTGCCCTACACTTTAGGATTTTAAGTGTATCTTTTATTAAATCAAAGAACAAATTCCTAACAGCCAATCAGTGATCCTCTTTTGTTGTTATGACTCGCGTCTAAGCTAAAGAAATTAAAATTGTTTGCATGATAACGATTATTCGGTATGATTGTTCATTTCTAAGTCTTGCTAAAGGTCTTGCTTAATTCAACCAAAAGTCATACTCTGTTGTAGGTTGAGTCTGTTGACCAGCCCATGACTTTTTATGTGTCTTGAATTTTCCAACAGTGAGGCCCACTTGGGAGTTTTGGGTGTTTCTGCCCACCTCTGTGTGTTCCAGCTCCTTCTGTTACATTTTTCATTATATAAAATAAATGTTGAATCCAACAGGGAAAGTGGGAACCCCTCATAATGGCCACTGCAGGTGTGCAGATCCAGGAGTGCAGAGATCCTACCAAGAGAGTCCCCAAGAGATAGAAGAGACTGTCAATCATCTACCCAAAAACTGGAATGACAGTTTTGGCCCTTTAAATAAGGCATTATTTTTGGTATGATACATGTTAACAGAAATACTGGTGCAACCATAAATTGCTTTTGAGATGTATTTTCAATGCATTCACCATTTACTCCCTTATTCATATTATAGAGGAATTTATAAAGATGGAGTGCTGAAGTTTATAAAACACCAATAAATGAGATAAATGTTCCATGTGATCCAACCCGAGGTGGAAATTCTGCATTCCGGATCCTTAAAAAGTTTTAACAACCATCCGCATACACAAGGCCTTAACTGCTTATTATGGTGCCTTATTATAATTGTTGTTTGTTTCCCTGCAGACTCTGATGGTCTTGGAATCAGTATTATTGGGATGGGAGCTGGTGCTGACATGGGCCTGGAGAAACTTGGAATCTTTGTTAAGACTGTGACCGAAGGGGGAGCAGCCCACCGAGATGGAAGGTAATGTCAACCAGAAGCCAATTCTTTCATAAACTGTTCTATAATAAATATACTATAACACATTTCATGTTTCAGCGAATGTTTTAAAACTTTTAAATCACAATCCAAGGGGGAGAGAGGTGCGCTGAGCAGGTTCTTCTGTAGCACCTCTTTGTTCATCTCACTATAGTAAACTAAAATATAATGGGTTAGAGCGATTTGTCAGTCATTGCACATTGCACTACCTCATTACAAAGCCTGTTTGGGGACCAGCATACGCACAAAACATTAGATGACAATGCATTCTGCTGTACATAAAACATCACATCAATAAAGATACCCACAGATGTATAGGAATAGGCAGGTGAAAGAAAAGGTGGAAAGAAGCGCTGCAACCCTAGGATTTGCTGGGATAGTATAGATCCAACCTTTAAAAGCAATATAAAACTGAAAACTCACTGTTTTGGAGGAGGGGATAAAATCTTACAGTTGAGTAGAACGCTCAGGAGTAACTCTGACCAGTCCTTGTGGGTATAGAGCACGGGTTTCGGACGGACGAACTGGAGTCTTCACGGTAAAGCTCTGAAAGCAGTTTGTCGGCTTAGAGTGCTGGGCAGCATCTGTGGCTGGTTGGTGTGGGTGTGGGGAACGGACTACATGATTCTAGGTCAATCTATTGTTGTTCATCTGTGGTTGATGTGGCTGGAGGGTCCGTTAGGCAAGGTGAACTATGCCGTTTGCCGTGAGGCTCGCCGTCAGGTGCAATGAGAGCGCAGCTGGCCAGGCTGCCACTCGTCGGCTGAACGGGAGCAGAAGTGCCGCTGTATAGCGGTATCTTTTGGATGAGCGATCGTGCTGATAGATTGTCTTGAAAGTGGGCTCAATGCTGACGGACACTGCGGTCCGTAGAGTGGAGGATTGGCTACGCGTTTCGAGGTTCAAGACCTCTTTAGCAAGCCCGAAGTGGTTTGCTAGTGCGGGCGGGAGAAGCAGCGGTTTAAAAGTGACAGGTGGGCGTGGTTTCCGATCCTAAAGAGATGTGATTGGTCAATTGATTCAGTGCTTGTGACTAGGAATAGTCACAAGCACTGGAATAGGAATAGGCAGGGCTTCACATTACATAATATTGGTGCTTCTAATGAAGATTGTGGGTGGCCAGCGGTAATCTAAAAATGTTTTATCATATTCTTTCACTGTTTCATACAACTTAATTAAAATTTTAATTAATTTGTGGCAAGTAGAAAAATTTCCTGTTACCTTGGTGGTGAGCGGTGTAGTGCCCCCGTACATTGGTGGTCATTGGTGAAGATCCCCTTTCCTTTGCTGGTTAGCGGTAAAGTGTGTCCCCTTGCATTACTGTTGCATTACTGGTCAATGGTGAAGTGCCCCCTTACATTGGTGGTCATCCATGAAGTGTCACCTTACATTGGTGATCAGTGGAGCAGCGCCCCCTTACATTTGTGATTAGTGAGGAATGTGCCCTCTTACATTGGTGATTAGTGGGGTAAGTTGCTTATTATATTGGCAGTCAGTACTAAAGTGTGCCCCTACATTGGTGGTCAGTGGTGAAGTAACCTCTTTAGTTTGGTAGTCAGTTGTAGAGTGTCTCCTTACATTGCTGGTCAGTGGTGAAGTCCCTCCTTATATTGTTGGTCAGTGGTGAAGTACCCTGTTACATACAGTAGGTGGCCAGTGGTGACGTGCCCCTTACGTGGGTGGTCAGTGGTAAGGTGACCCCATACATTGGTGGTTGGTAGGGAAAAGTACTACCTTACATTGGTGGCTAGTGAATAGATGCCCCCTTGCATTGGTGGTCAGAGGAGATGTGCCCCCTTACATTGGTGGTCATTGGTAAAGTACTTCCTTACATTGGCGAACAGTGGTGATGTGGTCCTTTGCATTGTGGGTCAGTGGAGAAATGCCTGCTTATGTTAGAAGCAAGTGAAAAGGTGCCCTGCCTCATTGGTTGTCAGTGTAATTCCTGCTTAAATTGGTGGTCAGCATATAGCCTGCTGACATTGATGGTCATTGGAGAGAGACTACAATATTGTATGAGACACTGTCATCCCTGTAATATTTTAAGCCTGTGCAGTACAGTAAACACTAGAGACGCCACTATGTGGGGGTTCCTTAGGGGCCAAGGCAGTGTGACCCACAGCTCCGAATTGTAGTTTTACAGAATCAGAAGCTTCCCCAAAAAAGAGCTTACTGTTTGTCCATTGTCCCTACTATAGAACAGGTCTGCAAGTAAGCCAGTTAAGATACCACATGTTTTTGGATTGTGGGAGAAACCCACACAAACATAGAAAACCCATACAATCTCTGTGCAGATAGCATCCTTGGTATGACTTGAGCAGGGGATCACAGTCAAGGCAAGAGTACTTACCACCTAGCTGCAATGCTGTCATACTGACATACTATAAGGACTCTCTGGATGGATTCATAGGTTAGCTAGCAACGCTTACCACTTATAATCATTGCAGTTTATATAAGGAATTTGATATATTTTCCCTATTTTATCCAATTATATTTTATGCTAATAAAGACCCTCAAATGCGATTTAGGCAGCAAACCCTGAGTGTGCATCCAGCAGTCCTGGACTGGCAATCTGTCAATATGGGCATTTGTCAATGGGAAAGGAGTAGGCTGATATGGTCTGCTCACCTTCTGTCAGCAATTAGCTGTGCTTTTCATAGACCAATCAGCAGCTATGAACACTCTGTGCTTGAAACCCAATGACAGTGACATTCCACAGCTGATCCATATATGGCACCCTGGGGTGGTTTACAGTAACAGGAACAGCTGCTCATAGCAGTGAATTAGGTATTATCTTTCAAAAGAAACCAAGAATCTGACTGGTAATTATGGGTAACTATTCCAGGTTTGTTAGTTTAGCCTTTTTTGAATCATGCTCAGAGTTCAATAATGTGATTACAGGCAGCCTTTATACACTATATGGTCAAAAGTTTGTGCGCACTTGACCATCATCCCAACTATATGACCTACAGTATGTAAACACGCCTCCAAATGATTACGTTCAAGTGCTTCCAGTGAGGGGTACTGTTAATGCTATAGCATACATGATAGACAATTCTGCGCTCCACACTTGTAATTGTTTGGGGTGATGTAATTTTCATGAGCAGGGGTTCATTCATCCTATTGTGCCAAGGAAGTACACTGAGCTGCTCATGTGCAGCTCAGTATATATTCTAAAGCAGTTCACAGAGAGGAAGGTAAGAAGCCTGACGCCTGATCACTATGCCTAAACTGTATGGTTAAAAGTTTGTTGACACCCCTCCAAATTATTGCCTTATCATTATTATACAGGCTTTTTTGTAGCGGCAACAGTTTGCGCGTCGCTTTACAAAATTGAGTCAGACAATACAGTTAACAATGCAATTTCAATCAAGGAGGGTTAAGAGGGCCCTGCTCGTGAGAGCTTACAATCTAGTAGGAGCGACAAGTCATAAATAAAGGTAATAACTGTTCGGGATAATTTAATGCAAGACGTGAAAGCACAGTTATATCGAGGTGGAATAGGCTTCCCTGAAGAGATACGTTTTCAAGCATTGCCAATAGTTGGAGAGAGTAGGAGATAAGCGAACACATTGGGGTAGAGAGTTCCATAGTATGGGAGACACCCTGAAAAAAATCATGGAGGGGAGCATGCGAGGAGGTGAAGAGCAGGAGGTCTTGGTAGAGTTCAGATGTTTCCAGTGAAGGATCCTGTTGATGCATCTAGTTATCAATTATACTCATTATCGATTAGTTGATTGCTTGATTACTTGTTTCATGGGCTCTGTGTTCCTTCTGTTCTCTGCTGCTCCCAGCGGGGATGAGAGGGGACACAGACCCCTGCAGCCAGTGCCCAGCGGTGAGGAGAGCTCTGCAACTCGCCAGCCTGAGCCCCCTCCCCTCCCCCCCCCCACCGATGCTCTGATCTGCTCTCTGTTCTCCCCCTGCCAGGGAGCCGCTGCATGCGGAACACAGACTGCTTCAGTCGGCACCCAGTGGGGAGGAGATACCACTGTCAGCTGCCATGCCGTCGTTAGCCGTCGTTAGTCGTCATACTGCCCCCGTGTCACTGTTGTCAGCCGTTATGCTCCTCTATCCACCCATGCTCCTCCGTGCCACCCGTCTCCATCAGCCGCCATGCTCCTCCATGCCACCCTTCCCTGTCCGCTGCCATGCTCCTCCGTGCCACCGCTGTGTCCACCACTGCTGTGTCCCCCTTTTCCCCTCGTGCCCCTGCCGGATAGGAGACTTGTAGCCGGCAGTAGAAAGCCGTTAATAGCAGGCTGGCTATTGCTCCCAGCCACTGCCTGCTGTATTTACGTTCCCCAGCTAAAGCTATTGAAGTGGAAAGGTGACACTAGAGGTCTAAAAGAGCTCTGTATGGAAGAGCAAGCCATTGGTTTCATCAATTCTAAACCTAAATAATATCTAAGCAGTTGTGTGGAACAGATTTCATAACTAACTCTTACACAGACACACGCTGACATTCACTGATTTATTATACAGGATTCAGGTGAACGATCTGCTTGTAGAAGTTGATGGGACCAGTCTGGTTGGTGTCACACAATCTTTCGCTGCTTCTGTTCTGAGGAATACCAAGGGACGTGTAAGGTAAGATAAATTTCAGCATTTTATATTTTTCTCTAAACTGATCCATATACTGTCAAACGCTTCTCCTTCTGGATGTGCATCTGGCTGCTGGGGCGCAAAAACAATTATTTGCACAGCTCCACCCACTGTCCTCAAATGAACAATAATCCTCTTAGTTTTGGGATATGTAATGGAATGAGACATGTGAATACCTTCTGTTCTAAGAAGGCTTTACTGTGCTATGCACTGATTCAGTTGCAAGGCTTTTTGATTGCTTTTGTCCCTTCTCACCATAACCTCTATGGTTATATTGCCTCGTTTGGTCTCAAGCACTATACCACAGAAGCTATGCTTTCAATACACTGCACTGATGATGGCCAGAAAGCCTGAAGCAACTGTATTCAGTTTGTGATAAATGGTTCTAGAATATGAGGCTATATTTGCACTATACACAACTCCTTTAAATGATCTTTAAATGGGGGTGGGAAGCCAACAGAGTGAGATGATATCACCGGCTACTGACCAACCAATGTTAGGATATGGTGCATTCAAATGTAATGCACAAAGCACTGCTTCCTTAACCACATTTAAAATGAACCTGGTCCCAGGCTATGGGCAGTCAAGTATTTACAAATTCTTAGCAAGCAGCAATGATATTTACCCTCACTGATACATATAGATGCAGGCACTGTGGAGAAATTAATCCTCAAAGTTCACAAGATAAGCAGTGAAGTTGTCCAAGTCAGGCCTGGAATCAGCTCAGTTCATCTGCTTCTAAAAATTAGAAGGCTGGAAGGCTGATGAGTCACTTCTGGGAAGGAGTGGGGGTGGAGTCCCAAGGATGAGCTGAGCTGCTGAGCGACAGCGAGAGACCAACTTTATTTTGCATCCATTCAAAACTAAAATTTCAGTCTTGAGTAAAAGCTGCCGAGCTTAACTACTTGCTGTGGCCATACTCCCAAACCACCAACATGAGGAGGAGCAGAGTCGACAATAGCAAGGAGAACTTGCTGCTGGAGTCCAGAGATACAGTAGGTGGCATTGCCCATCATACTTCATCGATAAAAAAATATCACTTTTAGTTGGAGTGACTTTGGTATCTACAATACTAACCCATTGCTCACCAGTCATTTCACCATTCCAGGGTGGAGGAGTTTTGATTCACTTAGATATGTGTGTGATGGTAGTGGACTTTGTGTGTAAGGTTCCTGATTGGCCGAGAGAAGCCTGGAGAACAAAGTGAAGTGGCCCAGCTGATCCAACAGACACTGGAGCAAGAAAGATGGCAGCGGGAGAACATGGAACAACGCTACAACCAGTGTAACGAGGATGATGAAGAAGTGAGTGTGTAGTATCTATCTATCTATCTTACCTATCCAATTGCTGACCTCAGAGAATACAAAGATTCTCCTATCTGCTGTATAATTAAAGTTGCGTTTGGTATTACAGACAGGGGAGTATGCCACCGATGAAGAGGATGAAGAGATGAGCCCCATGTTTCCAGGTGGAGAACTGGCTATTGAAGTCTTTGAATTACCAGAAGGAGAAGATGCCTTGTCCCCTGTGGAAATGGATCCTGAGAAACTCGTGCACAAGTTTAAGGAGGTGAGCATTACATTAAGATTGTTAAATCAGACATCAACTGAGACTATCTGACCACTAAATGAGGGCTAAACTACCCAACAAACACACAGACATGCAGGTGTGTTGTCGTATTGGGGGCATGGCTCCGTACGAGGCAGATACCCTTTGTGGTGGCAGTGTTATTTTAGGTGCACAACGGTCTACTGGTCTAAATGATAATTCAACTTAGACTCTACCTTCAATATCTTTGGGCTAGGGTTTCTATAGAGATGTATATGAAACTGTGGTGGTCAAGTTACTTGATATAGTGAGCCCCAAGTGCAGCCCCTGGCATCACCGAAGGGCCGCACATAATATTCAGTAAATATAATGCTAATGAACTCTGTCAAAGAAAGCAGATATGCAAGGTCAGAGATTATGGGCATGCTTCATGAAATGGTCAGAGACTGCAGACATGTTACAGGGGACAGTCAACATAACCACATTGGTTTATACTAACGTCTCTCTGGTGTCTTCTCATGCAGCTTCAGATAAAGCATGCTGTGACCGAGGCCGAGATCCAACAACTGAAGAGGAAGGTAAGGAGGAACTACTTTATAAGAACAGCTGTCATTAAAGCGTATCTAAACCCAAGACCTAAAATTTAATATATTGCTGCTAACCAGATGCGTTGTCTGCATTAGCTGTCTTTATTTCAGGCTTCTATTTCTTTTTTTTGACTTGGTGATCCTGCTGGTTGCACATGTTCTGACTTAGAGTGACAATGTTTACTCACCATACTGTCTCTACTGAAGAGAAGCGTTGTCACCCTAGGAGAGGCCTATAGATCACTTCCCCGTCTCATAAGAGAAGTTCATTGTTAGGGTTTACATACACTTTAAACCTCGGCATAGGGCAACCTGTGGATGTTGTGTAGTATATTTCTATGCAAGAGTTTATCTTGAAAATAATTCCCATGATATATTATATGCAGATTTGTAGAGGGCATATGTATTAGAAACTGAGACTGCTGGCCTCAGATGTCAAACTGTCTGAGGGAAGTAATGCCCTATGGCCTTAAAATTAGCTGATGTTTGTTTGCTGTTCATTCTCTTGGTGCATGTTGTAATACTGAAAGAGGAAATTAATTGGTTGTTTCAAAAAGCACCTATTATTTTAGTCATTTCTTTTTTCAACACTTTGACAACTGATATCAGGTTATAAGAATAACTGTGATATATTATAAGTACAAAATAAACCTTCTGGAATGTGTAGTGTTTATCATATTCCTTCAGCCCCTTAGCTTAGTGAATGACGTAAAGCTCTGCCGACTTCCATCAACCAATTATGAGGATGATGATGAAAATTCAGTTTTTTTTTTAAATTTGTCTTGAACATGATTGGGTATTCTTCGCTAACTGAATCTTCACCGCATTCACTAAGCTATGTTAAAATTCCATTGCAAAGTGAACTGCCTTTAGTCAATCAACCCCATTCTGTTAGCCAACTCATTATTAGGCGGGTAGGTAGAAAAGGGTATGTTAAAGGCAGGGCTCCCTCTAATGGCTCCTCTACAAATCTCTCTATTTAAAGCATATGAAAAATATGAAAATAAAATGCAAAAAGTTGCATCAAAAAATGTTTTATTGTAAGCACTGCAATAATAACTCTTCGCTCATTGAAAGCATATTATAATATCCCTTACTAAATGTAAAAAATAGTAAGAATGATTTTTAATAACACACCCATGCTAAAATGATTATTATATTCACATGTAGAGTTTATAAAAAATATACAACAAATAAAAGATGCTAGATTTGCTTTGAACTCAATGTCTTCCTTTCGTCTGTAGCTGGCTGGACTGGAGCAAGAGCGATCTCGCTGGAGAGTGGAGAAGGTGCAGCTGCAGCAGAGTGTTCAGGAGAACAGGGAGCGTGTAGAGAAGCTGCAGGGTTACTGGATGGAAGCCCAAAGCCTTTGTCAGGCAGTGGATGAGCATTTGAAGGAGACCCAAGCCCAGCACCAGGGACTGGAGCGCAAGTACAGCAAGGCCAAGAGGCTCATCAAAGAGTACCAGCAAAAGTACGTGCACTTGTAAGACCTGGCCTCTCGAAAAGGTTATAAATGCTGGTCGTGTCTCCAAAGAGGACATTTTTCTTGTCTTCCTTGTCTGTCTGACAACTATCACCAGGAGAAGAAGTGAGCCAAATCTCTCTCATGGGAATACAGCCAGCAATAAAATTCTGGTTTTTGGAAGTGTGGAAAGAAAGTGGACCCATGTGGCTATACTCTTGGTGTTTTACATTCAACAGTAGTTAAATGATGGGGATATGTGTGATCTGGCTAATGGCTAGGTAGCTTCTGCAGTCCAAAGGATCTCCGCAGCTCAATAGTGAATACAGAGATGTAGGAGTTTACGCGCCTCATCAATTACAACAGTCCAGATAAAGCTTTCTTCCATTAGGGTCAGGGGACATCCAAGTAGAGTAGCCAACGCATTTCAGGGGTCCAGCAGCTGCCAAACCCGCTGCTGGCAAGCCTGAGGTACATACAACTCACATCATACAACTTTCAAGCGGCAGGGATTGTAGTCTGCATTCATGATTACTCTCATTAAGCCCTGATGAATGGGGTGTGTGTTGGATCCCTGAAACATGCTGGCTACTCTACTTGAATGTCCCCTGACCCTAATGGAATGAAGTTGTATCTGGACTATTTTAATTGGCGTGGTGCTTCAATTCCTACATCTACTGAGCAGTAAAATTGTGACTGAATCAGAATTCAGATCATTGGTGTTATTGGTCACTTATCAGAGAGGCAGGAATTGTTGATTGCTCAAGGAACCCCTAGCAACTTCTGGAGGAACCCTGGTGTAGAAAGACTGAGCTAACCCTTCAAACCTTCCTCTACGATTATGATACAATGTATTTGTATTCAATATACACGAGATAACCGCACTGGGCTGTAAATATACCACTGTGGCAAGCAACAACAAATAATCAGTGAATACACCTATTTCATTAAATATTGCAATGTTGCAATATTTAATGTATTTTTTTTTTGCTGCCTGGGCCATCATTGGAAGGATTTCCCTCACTTTCTGTCCTGAAACCCATCAAATAGACAGGAAATGAGAAGAATCTTCATCATGTGGACACAGTCAACAATATAATCTTGACTGAGGTTCTAAACCTTCCTCACTCTACTAGGAAATTGTCTTTTCCTTACTGCCTGGGTTCCCATTGGGAACATTTAAAGCTGATCTCCGGCCTTGCCTTCAGTCTGGTACAGTTGTACAGGCTCCTCTCCTGTGCTGAAATTGCTTACTCTGATTTCACTGCACACTGTGAACTTCTCACAATGTACATTAGAAGCTGCAGCAAGACTAAACATCAGCTTTAACATTTCCCATGCATTGCTGCTATGTCTGATACCCACCAAATAGACAGGAAGTGAGGAAATGTTCCTTCACTTCCTGTTCTGTCTCAAACATTAGAAATACCACCCACAAAACACCTGACAGAGGTTCTAACCCTTCCATAATTCTACCCAAACTAAAAATATAATTTGTCTGGAGTTGGGCGTTAATTAGGGTTCCAACATGACTATGTGACACCAGAAAGATTTCAGTACTATTGTTAATGGTCAAAGTGGAAATGTTTTTTTGACAATGTCACTGGAGAACAAGTGAAGAAACATTTTTTGCTTTGGCCAATGTTTTATTATAGAGATATGGAGGATAGATGGATCACAAAGGTTTGATCTGGTCAGTGTTAAAAATTAGATTACAGAGCCTCAATGCCTTAGATAGATAGATAGATAGATAGATAGATAGATAGATAGATAGATAGATAGATAGATCTATATATATATAGATATATAGATATAAAATTATTTTGTAATTAATTAATGTTTGTCTCATTCTTTTCTTTTTGATAACACAGCACATTAGATTGATATATCGAATGAAAACAAACTTTTGGATTTAAAGATCTTGTCATCAAGACCCAAAATGTTTTTATTGGTGCTGTACAGAAACAGAATATTAATTGAAGTAACGTAACCCTCTTCTTTGCAGGGAACTGGACTTTTTGAAGAAAGAAGAGCTGCAGAAGCAGGCACTGGAAGAGATAGAGACTGCCCATGCTTCAGAGATTCAGAGACTTCAGGAAAAGGTATCACTAGCTACACCTCTTGTAGCCCGGTATGTCATTGAGGTAGCTGACATGCCAAAAGTTTGCCTGGACTAGTGGTTGTGGTAGTAATTGGTGCAAAAAATGCATTATTCCCAAGCAACCCATCAGAAATGATCTGTCAGTACACGTAAGTCTGAACTCCAGCCTTCCCTTCAGTCTTGCACAGTTGTACAGGCTCCTCTCCTGCACTGAAATTGCTTACTCTGATTTCACTGCACACTGAGCTTCTTAATTAAAGGAGAACTATGAGGTGAGTGCTTTTCACTCACCTCATAGTTCTAGCCGACCTGTGACAATGAGACTGTCACAGGTCGGCTCAGTAGATCGGGAGTCGAGCAAACACATACCGGCGTTCGCTCACTTCTCGATCCTGTCACAGACCTCCAGCGCTGACTGGCGGAATGGACGGGGGAGGGGGCGGGTACAGCTGGCTCTAGATAAGCAGAGCCAGCTGTCACTCACGCAGCTGGGCGGATCCAGACATAATTGTCGGGATCCGCTTCAGCTGCGGCATCGCAGTATACCGCGAGCTGTATCTCACGGTATACTGAGCTTAGGGTGACGGGAGGACGCTAGTTTGTGTCCTCCCGTTACCCTAAGGAGAACTATGGGGAAAAGCCCTGACCCCATAGTTCTCCTTTAACATTTTCATGAAAGGGGAGAAGAGGAGCCAGGGAATGCAAAATATAACCAGATTAAACATCAGCTTTAAATCAGAGCCACGAGCTACTATACTTTGCACATTGTCGTAGCTTTTTGTTCGGCTTTACTAAATAAAGCAAGGTTTTTGAGCAGAGAAAGTCGAAGAGTGATCCTCTTTCTCCAACCTGCTCCACCATGTCCTATTGGTTGTCCAAAAAAATAGGTGACCTTAGTATCCAATTGGAAAATTAAATCTGATTTTGGTTGAAAGTTAGAAAGATAATGAAAGTTCTCAATTTCGATCATCCGTAGATTTTAGTGTTAACTGAAATGACAACCTAAGACTGGGCCACCTTATGGTTAGAGTTACACAGGTGACTTTTAAATAATGAAACCAATAGCCTCCTATAGTGTAGACTACACCAAATCTGAACACCTTTGACTAATATAATGTGGGCAGTTCAGGTAGCATTCTTGATTCTTAGTGCATCTCTAACATGGACCGTAATATACAGGGGTACGGGTACTCCTAGAATGAGATCCTAATAGGTTGGACTTGATGGACTAATGTCTTTATTCAACCTCAAATACTATGTCATTATTCTTAACATTGCTTACTATTTTTTTCTGTCCTAATCACAGGTCACTGAATTAGAGAAGAAACTTGTGACCCTTCAGTGCCCTACTCCTCCTTAGAGCATACATTACAGAAAACATGGAATGTTGGGCCCTGTTGGCTTCTGGTTGCCCACCAGTGCAGGATCTGTGTCACCAGTGATGTCTGCCCCCCCTATCTTACGTAATACTCCAATGATTCAACAGGGGTGAAGTCTTACTCACATCTGGATATGTGATTGTGGTTCTCTGTCAACATCTAACCGGACAACGGTGGGATTCCAGCTGGCTGTGTCGTGACTGCAGCTCTGTAGCCTGTGTCTATGTATTTGTTTGGGCCTTAGGCCCATGTATTCCTGACGGACCCTGGAATATGCCACATGGCAAGATATTGTATTCAGTGACCCTACTGGCTGTATCTCATAAGGACCTTGACTGGGATCCTTTGCCCCACTGGTGGCCTAGACAATGACTGTGGCCTCTTCTCCTGGATTTTGCGTGTATCTGTGCTGTATTTGTGCTGGTGGTCTCTGTCTAATACCTGCCCTTGGCATCTCAACGAAAGTATGTACCATTCATCCTTCCTCTGTTCCAAGCTTTCTTTTAACAGTTGTTACTCCCTGCCCTTTCTCCTTGCAAATGGCAGGAGCAAGGTTGTGATGGAGCTGCCATCTTGTTGGTAAACTAGACACATCACTGGGCCTCATTTATCAAGGTGTTCATAATATGAGTTATTTGTACTGTCCATGGCAAGCAGTCAGCTTTTTCCTTATCTTTTCATTTCAAGCAGCAATCTTAAAGTCTGAATTGGTTTGGTAGTTGTGAACAACACAATTTTTCATATTAGATACCTTGCCAAATTAGATCCACTATGGTGTGAGCCCAAGGTCACCCTCACCTAGCTTTTAGGTTACACGTGAATGCTGCTGGTGTTCCAGTACTCCACTGGTTGTATCTACCTACTAGAGTTTGCTCAACTGCCACTCTTTGTACCCTTTGCAATAGGAATCCAAAGTAATTAGGTCTGATAACTGAGATGTAGAGATCTCATTAATGGAACCCCAAGCTATGAAAGAATCTATCAGGCGATGCAAGCCATCAGCATCTACTCAAATATCAAATGGCAGTTTTTGGTGGGCCAGCCCGTTAATTTACCTTCTAATGATATTAAAAAAATGTTGCTGCAGCCCACAAGATGGCTGCCTCTGCAGTGTACAAGCACTTAGTACACTGTAATGAAACATGTAGGCAACAAGCAAGAGGAAAGTGGATAGCTGAGTAACTGAGCAATTGACATAAGGTAAGATGTATGAATCGGAGTGTATGAATGACTGCATTAGACATTTTCACCTACCATGACCTACCCCACATTGTAACCACTGGTAACTGCTAAGATGCAACCAAATGTGGCCATCACAGGCTAAACCACACATTTTATTATTTTCTGATTTCTCCTCCCAAAACTTTGGCCTGTCCTAGCCTTATAACCGAAGTGGCTTTGTTGTTATTCAGTATAGTTTGGGTTCATCTCAGGGTGATCCAATATTCTCTGGAAAAAGGTCAAGTTTAAAATATATTTAGATTGACACAAGTCTGTAGGGCTTTGGAACTAATGGTTGGTTAGGACATATTAACACAGGTCCAGGAATTAAGATGTAATTTCAGGTTCTGTCTTGGCTTTGGGAGCTAAAATGCTGCAGGTGCTATGTGATGACATCATTACTGTGCACTCCACAAGATAGCCATTTCGGACCTGTACCAGGAGCTTGTGTAATATGTTCTTGAACCAGAGCCTGTAAGTCAATCACCAGAGCTGTTCATAGACACCAGGGTCCACATTTACTTTTTTGTATAGCAGAAGATGAGTACATCAAGCATCTCCTGACATGCAGTACTAATTATCTTTATCCCAAATTTCTTGAATTTGGAAAAAAGCAAAAGGTAAATGTCCAATATGGGCTGAGTGCCCTTTCAGTATTAAAATACACCTTCCTACTATCAGTGAGAAAGACTGTCCTATTTTAGATGAGGTGTCTCATCTTCCTAGGACTAAGGGGCGGTTTTAAAGTATTTTACAACATTGGATGTCAGGCTTTATTACAAACTCATCTGTTGGTGGGCCTGCATAAAACACCCTTCCAGACCCTCAGAGCAGTGGCCTGCAGAAACCATTCCTAGCACAGCTATTGCAGTTAGCGTTCCTCAACCCCCTACATGGGTGGGGTTTGCTGTAATTCAGGCCCAATACCATTTTCTGGGCCCAGAAGTCCTTGTGCCCATAGTTACAAGAGTGCTAATGCTGCCGTTCAAACTGTCATGTGTGCACGATCAGACTCTGCACTGTACATAGCAGTGACAATGAGAAGTGTGGCTTATGTATGTGTGAGAGTGCGTGGGTATTAAAATGAATCACAGACGTACATCCATAAACATGAGCTTATTCAGTACAGTGGGCCCAAAATAACCAATCAGAACCCATCATTTCATTGATCTGACCTCATTTAGGTTACAGCTGCACAGGAGAGTTTTATTAGCTCAGTTATGCTACTAAAATCATTAGAGATTAAAGTGATATTAAAGTCAATAGGTTGTTAAGCTATTTCAAATGCTGATTAAATCACTAACAATGAATGGTGCTCCTTGATGTTTAAAAGTTTTATCTTCAGCTGGTCCCCTGAGCACTGGCCGTGATATCCTGTTTTAGGGTGGCTCCTATCCCTTTCAGGGTCCTATGGAGCCACCCTTGTGTGTGCTAGTGAGCTGTTTGTTTCTCCATCAACACGGAGACACCGCAAGGCAAGTCACTTCCCTGCTCTTCCTTCCTCCTTCTCCAAACTAGTAGATGGACAGCTACGGGAGACTGCTCTGTCTCTTGTGATCTCGTACTCAATAGGAAGTTTAGGGGAGCAGAGCTGAGAGAGTTAGAGCTGGCTATTCGGAAACATGAAGAAATACTTTGATGGACAATGTATATATTTTGATCTGGATTCATTATTGAAAAAAAGTTTGAGAGTTTAATACTGCTTTCATTGCAAGGCGGAGTAATTGATGGAACACATGGCTCCCTAAGGCGTGAGCTGCAGAAGCAACATCTTGTATTGATCAATTGCACATGATTGAATCTTTGTGCGACCCTGGAAGATTTATCGCTACTACATACTGCTTGTCTAGCTTGCACCATAGAAACCTATATCCTCAATCTGTTTAATGACCAATGGCTAACACTTTGCTAGCATGATTGAGCTACTAGAACTCTCCTGTTTTCCTATAGTCTTTAGGGAAATTGTAGTAGTGTGGGTTACTGAATATGCTCAACGCATGTATGTACAAGCTTTCCTCATCTTCGCTGTATATAGCTTCGAACCGTGAATCAGCTTCTGACGTTGTAGAAACATCTGCATCTAACGCAGCACGTGCAATTGTAGATGCACGCCTAATGACAATGACAATGCCACTGGTTCTGGCAAGGAAGCTGCCGGCAGCCGTGTCAATTCCCTTCTTGTGACAGAACGAGAGGAAGGACAGAAGGAAGAGGCTTCTGTGGTCACGTAACACCAAGACATCTGGCTCACTAGGGGGTGTGAATGGGTATTATTAGAAGGAGGTTGAATGATACTGTGCCAAATTACTATCTGTCTATTTATTGGTATGTTATGGGAACAAAAAACGAATGGCTGTAAATAGGACCTTTTAAAGTGATACAGAATAGGTCGATAAAAAGCGAAGCATTCTGGGGGATTATTAATCTAAGCAAAGTTTGGCATTAAACAGATTCTGATCAAACTCATGTTGTCAAACTTGTGATGTGTGTATGATTGAAAACATTTTTGGCTATGTGGAGGCTCGGGGACTGGAGTCTTCCATAACTTGCTGCACAAAATGTTTCCATCCAGGGACACTTCAAGAGGCTTTCCTAAAAAGTGTTTGACTCTGATTGGTGCCCCAACGCATACTAAGGAACAAAGGGGTCCACACGTCCCACCACCGTCTAGCAAAAACCAATTGGCATGCTGAATTCCAACCACAAAAATGCAATAACCATACTTTGTATTTTAAAAGAAACCTTTGCGGGTATTAATTCGTAGGCTGTCACTGTGGACTTCATTGTGAAAATGCTAGTTTTCTGGTGGCAGTCTCGGGCTTCAGTAGCTACTGAATAAAAAGTAAATATGGCAAGCCCTCAACTCCACACCAGATGGGCAAACCTCAATGACAAAAAGCAGATCAGTTTTGATTACAGATGTCATCATTGTTAGTAATTGTTAGTAATGGTGTATAGCCAACAGGAACCTTCATCAGGGCTGCTTTAATGGAACAGGTGTTCCTGGGGAAAGTGATTCCAAACCCATAATATATATCTCTATATATATATATCTGTATAGGTAACAGCTTTGCACAAAAGGATTTGAATCATAGAGAACATCAATCAGCATTTTGACCACCGCTTCTGCTACCAGATTGATGATCTCTAAGGACACCTTCTGAACACTTGTTTCATACAAACAGCTATACACCATTGCTGGACTTTTGTCTCAGAGCTTTGCCCCTCTGGTGTGGAACTGAGCACTTGCTATATTGATTTTTAGTTTCTTTTCACTTATTGCCTTGTCCATATGGTGGTGCACTAATGCATACAGCAAGCTGCCTGGCGTCTTTCTGCAAGTTGATGGACGGTGGTTGAGCTCAACTATTTGTCTACTTCTTTCTGAGTCATAAATCAGAAACAAGTATATCAAAAAGTGATTTCAGAACACCTAAGCTGACAGATGTGGTCACATGCCTGTGCACTGACCCCAGGTTTTTGATCACAGTCAGTGGACGAGGATTATTTGGCAAAATACACACTGCACAGCCAAAAACATTTGCACACTCATTTGATTGGACTGCCTTTGGCTTAGATTACAGCACGCATTCGCCATTTCATCACTTCGATAAGGTTATGCAATATCACAACATTTATTTCCATCCCAGAGTTGCATTCATTTTTCACCAAGATCTTGTAGTGATGATGGGAGAGTCGGACCTCTGCGTAAGGTCTTCTCCAGCACATCCCAAAGATTCTAAATGGGGTTAAGGTCTGGAGTCTGTGGTGGCCAATCCATGTGTGAAAATTATGTTTATGCTCCCTGAACTATTATGTAGGCCTGATGAATCCTGGCATTGTCATCTTGGAATATGCCCATTGTGCCATCAGGGAAGAAAAAAATGATGGAAAAACCTGGTTATTCAGTATATTCAGGTAGGTAGCTGACATTTTTTGGGGGGACATAACATTGCTGAACCTATACCTGACCGACTGAAGCAACCCCAGATCATAACACTGCCCAAAATCCAGGTGGTGACTTTTTTTTTTTGGCTGGGCAGTATACCTTACTTAGCTTTATGCCACGTATTTCTCAGGGCAATGTCAAATCTTGATATACTTCTAAGGAGGTCTGGAAAGGTACTTTAATATCAGAGCTGAAAGTAAAATTTTATTAATTCAGAGAACACGGCTTCCCTGCTCAGGATTAAATGGTTTATTCAAGGCATGTCTATAGTGCCTCTTGCCACCCCACCGCCAAACCCACCTTTGTTAGGGTAACCTTTTTTTGTGGGAACACCCGCTTATGTACTATGCAAATGTGCAATGTGAGTATACCTAACTGTGCCCTCTGTTTCTGGAGTGTTGCAGGCTGCATCACCATGTTGGTGAGCTCATCAGCCAGAATGC